ACATACAGTGCCACTCCGCCACCCACCCGGCCTGCTCTATCCTTTCTATATATTTTATATTCCGGTATGATTGTGTCCCACAGATTTTCCTCATTCCACCAGGTTTCAGTGATGCCTATTATGTCAATCTCCTCATTTAGTACGAGGTACTCTAGTTCTCCCATCTTATTAGTCAGACTCCTAGCATTTGTGTAGAAGCACTTTAAAAATTTGCCACTGCTTATTTGTCTGCCCTTCCCTGATGCATTGGATTCCTTTGTATGCGGTTGTTTGTCTGCTCTGGCCCATGGTTTGTCCTCTCCCTTCCTCTCTTTCTGACTACAGCTTAGAGAATCTCTATCAATGGATTCTCCTCCAAGAGAAGTCTCCCTCCGATTTACGTGCATCTCCGCACGAATCGGCTTTCCCCCATCTCTTAGTTTAAAAACTGCTCTACGGTCTTTTTAACGTTTAGTGCATTAAATATAACAAACTCAACTCCATATTTTAATTTTATATGTAAATTTAGAATAAGCAGGAGATAAGATATTCCTAAGTCCAAGTGCCAAGTTATCAGTTTTAGAGCCTTAACACAGATAGTAGAAACACAAGTTTTTAATCTTGGCACACTATCTGTGGTAGAGATAAATAAAAAATAATAAAATCTGCTTACTTCCTCCAACGTGCTTTGTGTTACCACAATTATCTACTCTATTTTAATCAACTGTTTTTCACTCCACTAAAATGTATTTATTAATTTTAACATACATGATTAAGTTTCTCTCCCCTCTTTCATAAAGAAAAAGAATTTATTTTTCTAATTATTTATGTCTACTGATCACAATAATGTATGTAATTCCCTAATGTTTGACTCCATTGTTACTGTTAGTTTCAGACATGGAACTGCATTTATTTCCACCCGGATTTTAATTTATTTTATTTATATAATAAATATATGTTGAAAATAAGAAACCTTCAAGTGCAGTGCCTAAAATTGTGTGTTTAGATTTTTTTAAGTGACACTGCTAAAGTGAATGCAAGCTAAATTCATATTCTAGAAGGATACTATTATTTGATTATATCACTTTTTAAATGATTGACAAAGCACAATATGGTACTAAAAGTAATAATGATAATTATTCCAGCCAGGAGAGCTTAGGCATTTTAGAACAGACCAGTCAAAAATGAAAATAATAGAACTGTAATCCTTAATGAACTTCAGAGACTATGTGCACTGCC